AACCTCTACATCATCTTCGTTTTCCTTGTTATGCCCAGGAGGTTCCAACAGGAAGTCGTTACTGTGATTTGGTGGCAACATATTCATTGACATGTCACTGGACTGCCAGGGATACTGCGGAGCAAGGACATCTGGAGAAAACAAAAACACATGTAAGAACACTTCTCCTTGGATTATTTTGCTTCTTAATTACTCTTCCCTGTATGCAAATAATTTAAAAGTTTTTAAGGCTTGACATAAAAATATACACTTGGCCAAATAAAGATGACGTTTACTAATTAAAAGTGTAATGTTTTAGTAACTATGTACTTGGTTGTCTCAGTTTTTTTTTTAAAAAGTTCATAATTACATTTGATGTTCAAAATCAAGTATGTCATATTTTAACATGTACTATCTGCACATAAATATGTTGGTTGCTAGTCATGGTTGGTTGTTACATGGTGTCAAGTGTGATCCACAGCAACCCTATGAACCGTAGGACGGATTGGAACCCTGTCCTACCCTGTGCCATCCTCACACTTCCTAACACAGTAGAGCCTATTGCTGTCACTGTAATAAAATACAGCTTTCTCCCTTGCCAGCTGACAGTGTTAACTCTGTGAAAGAGAAGCTTTGTTGGGATGTGGGAAGAGTGCTTTCTGGGCTCCCGTGTACTGCTCCTACTTGCTCCGGCAGTGCTTGTTTACTGTGTAGAACATCAAGTGGTGCTTATTCCAACAGTTTCAGTGGCACCCTACTGGCCAATTTCCAGTTCCTTGAGTACTCTGGAGGATAGCTTCCAAGCAAGCGTCTCCCAAACCGCAGGGTGTGACTTCTTGCTTGCTTACCTTGGCCTGTGCCATTTCATCCAATTTCTCGGCCACACCTTCTCACTTAAGTCTGAATATCAGCTTTGGGATAGACTTATGAGGGAGCCTATTCTAAGCTGGACCCTTCCTTGGCAACTCTCTGCATTATTTTTTTACATATATACCAATCTTTATCTTGTAATAGTGACCAGTTAAGAATTCTTTCAATTTCCCATGTTCAGATTATTGGTGTAGGGTGTATCCTTAGTGGACTATGACTGGTATGGGATGCAGTAAAAGAGGTTGGTTTAACCAGTTAAGAATGTCTGCTTGATCATTACCGTCCTTTAAGATGTATGTAAATGGGACCACAATAACAGCAGCAACTCAAAAGATTAGAAAGATGTCAACCTGAGAGGGTAATGAGTTTATATCAGGATTTCAAACCTGTTTTTCCCAGCTCAGTCATAGCCAATGACACAAAACCAGAAGGGAAAAAAAAAGACAAGACCTGAATATGGAAAATGTGGGTAAACTGAGATAATAAACTGAATGGGAAAAAATTACAGGGTGAGATTCTGCTAGACGAATACTTTCTTAGACGCAAGAGCACTGCATAACCACCAGATCTTGGCTGGCCCTCTTGGACAGCGCTGTTTTGCTTAACAATGTATATGACACTGTGAACATGTATATGGCCTGTCAAAATCTTCTATGCATCAGGCTCATGAAAGGACTCCATTTGCTGCCTCTGTATCTCCATTCCAGGGCTCTGCCTGTGATATTCCTATTCTGCTTAGTCTTCCATTACCCTCAAAATTTAAAGTTGGGTGTGTTCTAATTTTGTGACATTGGCCATGACTGAATCAGTATGAACCACTCAAACTAGGATATGTCAAGAGTAGAAACTCAGAAAGGAGGGTGGGAATAGTTATACAACTTGAAAAATGAAATCAATGCCACTAAATGTTATTTGAAAAAACTACCATATTGGTGAATGTTTTGCTGTGTGTATTCTCAATGGTTAAAGTACATTATTTAGAAAAAAAAGGAGATAGTAAAGAGAAGAATTTTATGAACACTGTCAGTTTCTATTTTACACAGTAGTTTACAAAAACAATGTTTACAAAATACTTTTAAAAGACGTATTTTATATTAAGAAAAAAAATACAAAGAGTAATTTTTTTCACTTGCATGCTTTTCCATTTTCCAAATTTTCTATCAAATCAAAATGGTCACCTAAAAATGATGATGTACACGAAACTAATACAAAAAATGTTAGGAGGCCCGGTAGCATACTGAGTTAAGCACTGGGCTCCTATCTGAAAGGTCAGTAGTTTAAACCCACCAGTTATTCCAATGGGAGAAAGAGGACACTGTTGTCTCATAAAGGCAAGTCTGGGAAATCCTAGGGAATAGTGTTACTCTGTCCTATAGAGTCCTTATAAATTGGAACTGACTTGACAGCAGTGGGTATTTGGACTGTGGAAAAAATTTAGGAAGATTAAAGCTCAGAGTGAAATAAGGCTCACAAAAATGCTATCTTATATGGCTGTAAGACAGCTCTATCTGGAACAAGAAGTCCATTACAAAGGGAACTAGGGGAATAGAAGCAAGGAAAACGTGCATTAATCAATTAATTAATTAATCAATCCAACCTTTCTGTAAACTTATTAAAATACCACAATAAAAAAAATTTTTAAAAAACCTCTGGTGGCCTAGTGGTAAGGAGATGCAGTGCCAACTGAAGGCACAGAGTTCAAATCCATCAGCTGCTCTGTGAGATAAAAATGGGCAATCTCCACCAGGACAATTTACTGCCTCTGAAAATCCAATGCAGAGTCACTAAGGGTCAGTTCTGACTCCACAATACATAACAACAACATAAGAAGTCTATAAAAACCTACTTTATTTTGCTAATTTAGGGGCCATCCAGCCATGTGTTCATGTTACTTTAATTCTTTAAAAGGATGATCTATCTTTTCCTGCTTAAACAGTATGTTTGAGAATTTAAAAAAAAATGTCTGCAGCAATAAAAAAAAAAAGAGGTCCAAGCATTTATAAATAAAATACTTGAGAAAGATGGCATAATTAACAAAGGTAAGAATTCCTAACTTCCATCCAGAAGAGACCTTACAGAACAATCAGAGAATAGTATAAAGCAGTAGAAAGGCTAAAATAAACCAGTTCGTGCAGTGCCTGTATTTTAACAAGATCTCCAAGTAATTCTTATGCACACACACAGATTTGCTAAAATATAGATTCAGATCCACTGTATCAGAATCTACAACACAAGCCCTGGTCTAGGACTGGAAACTTGTTCACAGCATGTATCCCACCACTTTAATCGGTTTGAATACATGCTACTAACATTACCGGGCAATCGGCCTGCGGCCAGTGCATCCCCTGGTAAGTGCCCATTTACACCATTAGTGGAAGGATTATTCATTTGACCCAAGAGTCCACTTCTCATCTCTAAATCTGTTGGGTATGGTCTCCGTGGGTCCCCTAAAAAATAGAGAAAGCTTTTAATTCAATCACATACAAAACAAGGCTAATATAAGTTTGAAAGCTTATACATTTTCAATTTTAGAATATGAAGGACTTTTTATCATTACTGAGAACAGAGAATGTTAATTATAGAACATATGCATTCTTAGTGCTTCTCTGAATCCTCTTAATATACTATTCTTTCAACGAGAGTTATCATCATTTGACCCACTAGAGGGTCAGCTTGAGTCAGTCCTCACACAATGGCACAGAACATCATTTAAGGACTGACAGCTCTTCTATTTTCAGTCTCATGTTTATTTTGTGTTATTTCTGCGTCTGAGTAAGTTTCTCAAAGAAATTGTCATGTATGTTAATTTCAGAAGGTCTCTGTAATTGTTGGCTCTTAGTCTAAAGAACTCTCTTTAGGTCTTCTAATGCTGGTAAGGAATGTCCTAATTTTACTGTCATTATCTGAAGGACAGTTTTGTTGGTTTAAGATTGTTGGCTGACAATATTTTTCTTTCCAGATTTGTATATGCTTGACCTTGGTCTTCATGCCTACATTGGTTCTACTGAAAAATCACAGCTTAATCTTACTGGTTCTCTGTAGGTAATTTCATTTCCCCTAAGCTGCTTTCAGTATTCTTTGCCTTTAAACTTAGAAAATTTGATTGTTAGGTCTTGACTGTTTTTCTTTTGGAGTCTGTTCCTTTTTTGGATTCAGTTAGCTATTTGAATGCTTATTCTTCCTAAAGGTTGGGATACTTCTTTCCAGAAAAAATCTTCACAGATTGCCTCTATGATTTTTTCCCCTCATTCTGGAATTCAATTACACTTAATTCTTCTTGATATTGTTCTTTTCTTTCTTTTTTCCCCAAGTGTTCCTGAAACAGAAAAGCACTTAGAACTTTGTCCTCTATCTCATGAAATCTGTGCTCCATTTCTTCAATTCTCCTCTTTTGTCCTTCTAATATATTATTTCTGAAATTTGTTTTAATATTCAGATTTTCAATTTACTGATAATTGTGGTTCTAATTTTCCATTTATTTTTCTATTTGGTCCTGCAAACATTTAAATACAAATAAGGAAAAGAAACCATGCAGCTGTTCTGATTCTGCTAAGAATGCTGCAAGGAGCACAAGACAAAGATGTTTTTGAAAAATGCTTCCAGCACCTTTATTCCAGAAGTACACGATTAACTCAAAAGGGGAAACCTCTGTGGGCCTACAAAGACGTTGTATACAAAACTCACTTTTGCCTCATGTCAAGTAGAGCTACCTCAACAGGAGTTATAATACTGCTCAGTAAAACGCACTTGTCTTCTGCTAACAGAGAAGAATTTTGTTTTTTGCCATTATTACTATCTAATAGAAATGAGGGGAAAAAAATAAGGTCCTAGTGCCAATGGATTTTAGAAACCTAAGTTTATCCAGAACGAAGGCTGCATAGTGGAGTTGACTTGGGGGGAGGAATTGTATAACAATGAAAGAATTTTTCTTTTACTTTTCAAAGAGAAAAGTGAACTGGGTGGGAGCGGTGGGCAGGGAGAAAAGTGCAACAATGAATGAATGGAAATCCAAAGTCTCTGTAACCTTTAATTAATATTAATAATTAAAACAAACAAAAAAGAAACCCAAGTTTATAAACCCAAGGCTACCTTATCACTTATGGAAGAATAAAAATGTCAAAGTATATTGAGGTTTCAGAGGATACATTTAAATTCCCTATTTTTTTGTATGCAAAGTCTTCTCTAATAATAATCAAAATCACAAATATCTACTATAAAAGAGAATTATTTTTACCTGGAACCCAAGTCAGTGGGGCACACACAGCATTACTTGCACTAATCCTATGTGCATACTTAATGATTTCTTCAGAGGATATAGCACCTGAGAAAGTTAAACAGAGTATAACATTTTAATTTAGCAAATGTTCAAGTTTGTAAGTGCTTACATCATAGCACTTACATTCAACTTTACCTAAAATTAAGATACTAGCGTGATCGTGTTCAACCACCTCAACCACCAACAAACATTAAACAGTATTACTGCCCTGAAAACAAACGAATTCATGGGTTTAACATGGCTCTAAATAAAAAGATGGCCATAAATATAATTTCCCTTAGGTGATAAATTGAATTTTGTTTAAAATTGAATACATTTATCTGTATGATCTTCTGTTTTATATATAAATAAATAAATAAATAAATAAATAAATAAATACAGCTAGGATACAAACCAAGTATTAAAGTATTAATAATAGTTTTTATCTCTGAGAAATAAGAGTTCACTTTTCACTTTATCTATCAAGTGTAAGTGTGTAAAATTTTGAAGACTGAAAACAAAACAGAACCAAGGCCTTGATTTTAGATAGCTTAATTCCCACTTCTGGAACAAAAGAGTTCCACAGAAGTCTAGTTCGTCTCACAAAGGGACAGGAGCTATTTTGATTAAGTTAGTAATAAAAAAACAGGCAGCCAGGAAACAGAAAAATAAGGATGGTAAGTCTATGAATATTTATGGACAAGCAATCAAAATTTTAACTGTTAACGACTTTTACAGAAAGATCTAAAAAGCAGCTTTCTATAAACAGAAGCAGGATAACAATGCATGTTTGGCCTCACTCTTAACTGTGCACTAATCTCAAGGCCATTTATGTATCAGTTCAGAATGTTTTAAGTGTCTTCTACCTCTCCTACATTCCAAGATCCTAGGCAAAATCCACTTGCTCACAGCACATACTCTTCTTTTCTCAATTTTATATATCCATCAATTTATTAACAATTATTACACACTCATATACACAGCTACAAACGGCTTTCTATTTTAATTATTACTTGCAGTCTAGGAAGGGATGGAATACTTCTACCTCCCTAACAATGCTGAGCACTGTACGATGACAATGCCCATACTTTGTAATGAAGATTAAGGATTAACAGTAATACTCTGATTGGAAACCAAACAGATTTTTCAAGTACTTGGGCTTCTCATAGTACTAACCTTTTCTTGCTTTTTCTATTGATTTGAGCTTTTCTTTTGCTTGATAAACAGCTGTTGCCTAATTTAAACATTTTTTAAAAAGAAGGGGAAAAAAACACAGGATTTACTCTTAACTGTATCATACACAGTTGCTGGCCTTATTTAATGAGATTATTTATCACAAAAGAGCATGCAAAAGTAGAATTCCTACAATTTATAAGAAAAGCTCCAGAACACCACGGGACATTATTTCTATCACACTTGTAATTCAGTCTTCTATTTACAAATCAATTAATAGAAACCATTTAAAGTATAAAATTGTTTATCTACTCAGTTTTTTAAAACATCTTTTACCTTAACATGTAGGACAGCTACATTACATATTATTCTAAAATTATCCTATTTCTACATCTGGTTCAAGTTTGAGTCAATGGATGTGATTGTTGCTGGGTACCAGTGAGTCAACCACAAGTCACAGTGATTCTGTGAACGACGAATCTGAACCTTGCCCTATCCTGTGTCATCTTCACCATCTCCGATATACTCAAGCTCATTGTTACAGTCACTGTGTTGATGCATCTTGTTGAGGGTCTTCCTCTCTTTTGCTGGACTCCACCTTTCCAAGCATGATGTCCTTTTCCACGGACTGGCCCCTTCTTAAGTCCATACACAAAGTATCGGAAATGAAATTTCACCATAGTTGCCTCTAAAATATAATACCCCAAAATATTTTTAATCCCAGTTTAAAAAATAACTCCTGGACTACTATTAATTTACACACTATGCCTATCACTCCAGTATTGTCTTTCCTTCTACCAAGATACAAGAAAGGGTTAAAAAAGTAGTAAAGTCAGCACAGTACACCAATGTCCTCAAACATAAGATAGTTAAAGACTATGGATCCAGAGAGAGATAAATTTCATCTGTTTTTAGCATCCTTACAAAAGCTATGCATTTAAAGTTTTGGTACCCTTATCTATAAAATGAGCTGTTATTGTTAGGTCCTATCCAGTGGAGTACAACTCACAGCAACCCTATGAACAAAAAAAAATCTGAACCCTGTTCTATCCTCACACTTCCAGACACACAGGAGTCCATTGTAGTAGTCACTGTATCAATCTACCCGGTTGAGGGTCTTCCTCTCCTTCACCCTTCCCAGCATCATCTTCTTCTCCAAGCCCCTTCTAGTAATATGCCCTAAGTACGTGAGGTGAAACCTCATCACTCTTGCCTCCAACGAGCACTCCAGCTGCACCCTCTCCAAGACCTATCTGTTCTTTTGGTCATCCATACGATGTTCAGTGCCACATCACAGCTCAAAGTCTTCTGTGAAACAGCCACTTAGTTTGAATTGCCAACCTTAAAGGTAACAGCTCAATATTTAAACCTACTAGGTTAACAAGGTGTCTTTTTTTGTAGTTGTTTGTTATATGCCGTCGAGTTGCTTGTGACCCTATGTACAACAGCCCTAAACCCTGCTCTGTCCTGTGCCAATCTCACTGTCTCCAATACACCCACCCCAATTACCCCAGTCACTGAATCAATCCACCCTATAGAGGGTCTTCCCCTCCTGCACTGTCCCTCCACCCTCCCAAGCATGACATCCATCCCTCTCCAAGGACCAGTCCCTCCATGCAACATGTCCAAAAGTATGTCAGAGGAAGGCTTAGAATCCTTGCCTCCAAGGAGCAGCCTGGTTTAAGCCTCTCCAGGCTGAACCTGTTCGTTTTCTTAGCAGTCCATGGTACATTCGATACTCTTCTCCAGCAGAGGTAATTAACATACCCTGAAATGCTGAAGCTTCTAGTTATTCCCTTCAGAGTCCCTATCAACCCATTCTTGAAGTTCATCAGGGATAAGGATGCCAAAAGCATCTGGTCTTTATGTAAAACAAACTTAATTGTTCCTGCAATTTCACTGTGGTGTTGGAACATCTTAAAACTGTCAATCAATGTGCAATAGACAGTGAAACCAGTGATTCAACGAAAAGATTGTTGTTGCTGTTGTTGTGTACCATCAAGTCGGAATCGACCTAGAGCTGACCCTTTAGGAGTGTTCAGAGGCAATTAATCACATGGAAGGAGATTACCTATCCTTCTCCCACAGAGTGGCTGGTGGTCTCGAACCACGTGCCTTTGGAATTGCAGCACAACTTCTTGCTACTAGGCCACCAGAGTTTCCCATATGGCAGTGATTGATAAAAATAGGAGCAGAAGTATGGGAGATGGTATGTCTGACCATACAGTGATTTGTTTGATGTTATTTATAGGGACAGTTCCCCTTCATGAAGCAGGTAGAAGCCAGACTCAGCAATCACCATATACCAATTACCTCAGTGAGTGTTTTGTATAATAATGAGACAAATAACGATTAGTTAACTGCCTAGTCTAATAATAGCCAGTAACAAAATACAACCTTTCACATCTATCCAACTTTTACCTGTTTAGGATGGAAAAAAATTAATGCCAATCTGAACCAATATATTAATGTTAAATATTTCTACTGACTAAAAAGATCTTTAAAATTTATATTTTTAATAACAGAATCATGTATGAATCCAAAACGCAATATATTTCAATTATGAAAATATTATTCAAAAGTAATGCTTATAAAACAAACAAAAGTATTGCTTAGTTTCAGCAAGTCAAAACAAGAAAATTAAAGAAAAGGGATGATGCTCTTACATTAAGCTGACAGGCTTCCATTTTGATGAAAATCCCCAATGCCCCCATTTCAAAATATTAAAAATAGATTATTTTTCAGAAACAGACTAAAGAAGTCCCTTATTACCTAAAGAACTTACCAGTCTCTAACAACTCACCAGTATCTGTTCTGCCTCCTTTAGCTGCTTCTGTAATTGCTGAATATCACTGTCTCTCTTCTCGACTTCTTTTTCTAAAACTTGCATTTCAAGATGGACTTTCCCCTGATTAAGTGCTAATTTCATTAGTTCTTGAAATTCTCCATCTCTGTGAATTAACAACTCCAGGATCTGTCAAAAAATAGTTGATTAAAGTAGGCTAAGAATATTAAAAAGCTCTATTACAATGAGAAACCAATATTGTTTTATTGTTATGTGCCATCGAGTCGTTTGCGACTCATAGTGACACTATGTACAAGAGCCCTAAACGCCGTTCTATCCTGTGCCAACCTCGCTGTCTCAAACACATTCATTCCAACTCGATCCATCTCATCGAGGGTCTTCTTCTCCTGCGCCGTCCCTCAATCTCCCAAACATGATGTCCCTCTCCAAGGACCAGTCCCTCCTTGCAACATGCCTAAATAAAGTATGTCAGACGAAGCTTCAGAATCCTTGACTCCAGGGAACATTCTGGCTTCACCCTCTCCAGGACAAACCTGTTTGTTCTCAGAGCAGTCCATGGTATATTCAACACTCTTCTCCAGCACCACAACTCAAAAGGCATCAAGTCTCTTTCTATCATCCCTATTCACTGTCCAACTCTCCAATGCACTGCACGTAATTGCAAAGACTATAGTCTGGATCAGGCGCACCTTAGTCTCTACCTTGATGTCGATGCACTTCAGTATTCTTGAGAGGTCCCTCACAGCTGACTTTCCCAGCTGTCTCCTGACAGCTGTCTCCTGATTTCCTGGCTGCCGTTACCAAGAGTGTTGACTGTGGAGTCAAGTAAACTAAAACTGTTAACTATTTCAATCTCTTCACCATCCACCCTGATGCTGCCAATTGGCCCAGTGGTGAGAATCTTTGTTTTCTTGATATTGAGCTTCCATCCATATTGAAGAACTGCAGTCCTTGACCTTCTGCAGCAGGTGCTTCAGGTCCTCCTCAGTTTCAGCGAGTAGGGTTGTGTCATCTGCATAATGCAGGTTGTTGACGATTCTTCCACCAATCCTGATGCCACATTCCTCCTTGTACAGCCCAGCGTCTCTCACTAGTAAATACAATTCTAACATTTTCCACAATTATACCTAATACTTATTTAGAATAAAAATTCCCTTAAAACAAACCTATTCTGTTGAGTTGCCTCTAAGCAGGACTGCACAATAGGGTTCCCAAGGCTATATATAACCTTTATAGGAAACTCTCACATCTTTTTCTAACCATTGTGCAACCAGGATTCCTCTAACAATAGCATTTGTTTAAATAATTGTTTCTTGGTCTATGTACATGTTCTATTATTTGTGTGTGTGTGTACCATCAAATCGGATCTGACTGGCACAGGAGATGGCCCCTCCTTCTCCCGCAGAGCATCTGGTGGATTCAAACCGCTTATCTCTGGGATTGCAGTGCAGCTTCTTGCCACTAGGCCACCAGAGCACCCACATTTAAGTGTTAATTAAGCACAAAGTGATAAACGACTTATGCAGAACAATCATCACATAATAAATGTAACAGATAATGGCTAATGAATCTATTTCTGTTATTTATTAGGTCAGCTCATGTTTTGAAAAGAGGAATACTAAAGATCATGGCCTGCTGGCTCTCAGACTTTGAACCAAGGCAGAAAGAAACCAGAACCTTTTCTGTGTATATTCCCTGTATAAAAGTCCAAACCTGGATGGGTCTGAGGAAAGGAAATCATGGCGGCATGATTAAATAACCACAAAAGGACAGATGTAAGGGATAATAAAAGTTCAACTTGACTAGAATTAAAAATTAATACAGTTGAGATGGCATTCTTCCCTAAACTGACAAAGGTTTAGGGAAATTGGAATGGATTCAAATGCTACTGGTGAGAGTTAATACAGATTCTCTGGTAATCAAAACTCTACTAGAAATGTACACTTCTGAAATTGGGACCATGTAATCCTAAAAGCTCCTAGAAGTGTCAAAGCACTCAAGAAAAATCATTACATAAAAATACTATGATCCCTTGACATTAAAATGCTGGAAATAGAAACAAAAACAAACAAAAAGAAAGTCTACTGCAGAGCGGTGCTAACCTGAGGACAGAAGAAAAGGCAGTCATTTTCAAAGTACATTGTTCCATTTAAATCAGGATGGTTGGAAAAAAAGAAAATCCATCCAAGAGAAATTCTCAGCAGTTAATAAGAAATTAAAAAAAGAAACATTGATGGTAAAAGAGTCCAGTCAGAAAAAGAGGTTAGAAACACAGTGAAATGAAAAAACATCTAAAGCGTCTATCTTTTTAAGTGACAGGAAAAACAAGGCATACTAAGTTCAAATGGGTAAAGATTACTTCCAAGAAAAAAAATCCTGACAGCCTCTTTTTCAAAGATAAGCAGAAAATACTGGCAAGCTATGACAGAAAAGTATTAACGATTTTGGGTAAAACTCTTAAAGAAAATGAACATGTGCACCTATCATCTTAACTAACTGAAGAAAACATTGCTACAGTAGTGTGAAATGCTGGATGTTCCCCCACAAAACTGAAAAATATAACTGATGTGCCCACTCTACTGAAAATGGAAAAGGCACAATACAGAATGAACAAAGTCTGGCATTACTGCAGAAAAAAGTAGATAAAATAGAAAGACTACAGAGTTAATGACAAAATATTCAGAGCCTACAGAACAAAAGTCATGTTCTGAGAGCTGAGGGGGAAGAAGTGGAAATAGGTGTTTCATGTGGGTAACAGTAGGGCACTCAATCCTCCAGAACATTCTCAGGACAGTCTCAAAGAACCCATACATCAGAAAGAAACTTTGCTGCTGATTCCAAACTAGAATGCTCTTTTAAACGATCTGCGGATTCTTCATAATTAATCCAAGATTAAGAAAATGTTATCTTTCATTGACGAAGCCTTTAACAAAACTAGATTACTTCTTAAAATGTTTCTACGAAGTTATTTTGCTTTACATTACTTTAGTATTTATCAAAGTGTAAAACTCTTTTCCTACAGTGATTTTACAGAGACAGTGGCTTCTCAGGTAATTATTATTCCCTAATAAATAAATGTACTTTTGTCACGGGTGTAGTCACCTACTACACCTATCATGAAAACCTAGTGTCATCCTGGGAATTATTTTCAACAGCTGCCAAGTTACCTTTGCATTTTCATATCTCCAGTTGTTTCATAGAATTGTAAGGTAAGAACAGCCACAGTCTGAATATAGTTATTGTTGGCCAACACAGATAACATGTGATGCTTTTCACTAAACATGGAAAATGTTACCTAGTGCGTAAGGACTAAAGCTGTTCTAATGATTTTGTGTTTGTTCATTTGAATCCTTAAGAAATCCCCAAATGTCTTTTTCTCTCTTACCTAATTCCCTAGTCTTTTCATAGAGTAGTTAAAAGTTTGCGTCATGTCTTTAACATTTTCCCCTTTGGTTGTGATACTGAAGAACAAGAAGTATTTTCACTGACATTTTGTTTTAGGAAATTATTAAAAAAAACAAACCTAAGCATATTCATATTGTGTAGTGACTCCTTAAAACAAATTTCTTTAAAATTCACTATGGTTATTACAAGTTTGCATAAGTGAAGAGTTGATCACTTAAGTATATAAAAAAATCAGTTCTAATCTACTATACATTATGCTGTCTGGGCTACTCACATCTGTTTATCAAGTAAAATAACTACAGTTTTTAAAAAAGTATACTACAAGGACATTTCCCCCAGAGTTTGGTGATGGATATCATTTTAGATACACTGTTGTTGTTGTTATGTGCGTCTAGTCACTTGCGACTCATAGCAACCCTATGTACAACACCCTAAACCCTGCTCTATCCTGTGCCAATCTCACTGCCTCTGACACATCCATCCCGATTACCCCAGTCACTGAATCAATCC